AATGAGATAGGAATAGAAAAAACAGGAAAATTAAAAAATTATGAAGTTAGCCTTTGAAAACTTAAAACAGATTCTGGCAAAAAAGCCAATAGTACAAATTTTTGACCCTAAGGAGGACATAACTCTAACTACTGATGCTAGTGAGCAGTCCATATCTGGTATTTTGTCACAAGATGGGCATCCCATAATGTACTTATCGAGGAGATTAACAACAACTGAACACAATTATTCGAATATAGAAAGGGAGGCACTAGCCATAGTGTGGACAACGGATAGAGCAAGACAGTTTTTGATAGGAAAAAAATTCTTGTTGAAAAATTATCAACAGACACTGGAATTTATTTTCAACCCAAGAAAAGAGCTACCGAAAGTTACAACGTCCAGAATATTACGTTGGGCGATTAGACTGATGGTGTTCGACTTTGACATTGAATATGTTAAAGGGAATACGATACCACATGTTGATGCCTTATCTAGATTGAGGTTTTATAGAGAGGAGAAGGACAAAAACGACGAGGAATTTGAAGACACATTCTTGCACCTTGTAGAAACCGATGTAATATCTGTAGATAAAATGGCTACTGAAACTACAAATGACCCAGTGTTAAATAGAATAATGTCGAGGATAAAACAGAATCGCTGGAGAAATTGTTCAATGGCTGAAAGACCATTCAAAGAAATTAGACATAGAATGACTATAGAAAACGGGATAATATGTAAGGGAGACTTGGTAGTTCCCCCAGAAACACAGAGGAGACAGGTTATAAAAAGTGTACATGATGACGTACATTGTAGAGTGGCAGCTACGCAAAGAAGATTAAAATTGGAAGCTTGGTGGCCGGGGTACTCAAGAGACGTAGAAGACTACGTAAGAAGATGCAAAAAATGCACAGAACTTAGGAATTTTAAGCAAAAGAAAATACATGTATGGCCCCAAGAAGTAGAACCATGGAGCAGAGTATACATGGACCATGCCTATGTCAATGGGATAGGACTATTATTAATATTAGTAGACACATATTCAGGTCGGCCTGAAGTGGTGAGAGTACCTGATAAAAAAAGTACCACCGTAAAACAAATATTAAGAGTAATATTTTCGAGGAATGGGACACCGAGAACATTGGTGACTGATAAGGCACCAGAATTTGTGGATGCTGATTTGCATGAATGGTTAAGAAAAATAGAATGCAGACCTTACAAGACCCCTCCCTACCACCCTCAAAGTTATGGGACAGCGGAAAGGATGATCCAGACGGTAAAGAAGGGCATAAAAGCATGCTTGCAACAGAAGGAGGAAGTTGATGCTTTTCTACCAAGACTACTATTAAGTTATAGAACAATTCCACATGCAGGCAGGCCGGAAAGTCCATCTGCCTTAATGGGCAGACAATTAAGGTCCCCTTTGACTATGTCATATGCCACAAATCAAAAGATGTGGTACAAAAGAAACAGGAATATGCAACCTGAGTCAGCCGAATTTATTATGCAGAAAGAACATAATACTGCAATATTAAATAAAGAAAATTGGAACAGTATTCTAGCTCATGCTGACCAAATAAGATCCCAAGGAGAAGAATCGGATGAGGAAATGCCTTCAGAGATGCCCATTATTGACGTAACAGAAGAGTTAATGCAGAATGAAACTGCGGAGGAAGAAGTAGAGAGGGATGAGTTAGAAGAGGAAGAAGTAGAATGGGACAAGTTAGAAGAGGAAGACCACAGTATGCAAGAGGAACAGTTCAATTATAGGGAAAGACGTGATAGATCTAGATCTCCAAGGGAAAGGAGAGAGATAAAGGAAGATGTTCGGGAGCGCACAAGAAGAAGTACAAGAAGTACTCGCGGCATAAGGCCCCTCCGTTATAGGGAGATGTAGTGATATGCAAATTAGTATAATTTGCATATGAGCAGGTAGCTCATATGATTAATGGACAACAACTAGAACAGAGGTCGAATGCTTACTTAGCAATATACACGACATAACAGTAACAAAATAGTACTTTCTGTGCAAAAACAAAATCGTAAAATACTTGGGAATTTATGATCTTTTCACCCAAATCAAAAGCCAAAATTATGCAGAACAGGTGAGGACATGTAAACCATGGTGTAAATGGATACAAAAGAAACAAAATATACAAATATCACAAAATTCTCGTCCTGCCTCTCCCAACCCTGATATGTCAGAAAAACTAGTTTGGTTAATAACACTAGATCCATTAATTCTGCCACTTTCAAAAGTCAGTTGCTTTAACTCTTCAAAGTCTTCTGATAAAAATACTTCAAAGAAACAAAAAAAAAATGATCTCAAAGGGAGTAGAAATCTTCTGTGAATATGCCCTCTGCTGCTCCCACAAAATCACAAACTTCAAAATCCCATACAGTTGTTGCCGATTCATTTAAAACATATGCTAATAACCGAATGTCCTGATCTGCATCTTTGCAATTATCTAGGTATCAGAACTTGAAGGTGGCAACAGACAAATCTTCATTCAAATCCTTCAAAAATATATCCAGACTTGGAGAAGATTCTATATATATATATAGTATAGTTTTGTTCCATACAGTGGGTATAAAACATTTATACCAAAATTACCAAGTTTCTGCAACAAAGTATGGCTTAGGGTTGATCAAGTCAGAAAACCTTTGGAAGTGGCCTATACAGGGTCCTACAAAGTTCTGACATGGTGAAATAAAAATATTGTGATTCATATGAACAATGGAACCCATACAAAAGTATCAATTAATAGGTTAAAACCCTATATGGGGGCCTACTAAAGATAAACTAAATTCCAGTGAAAAAGATAAAGCAAACAAAAATGAGCTCATAAATGATGAAGAAAACCTTTGGAAGCACCCTATACATGACCGTACAAAGTTCTGACATGGTGAAATAAAAATATCATGACTGATATGAACAATGGAAGCCATACAACGTATCAATTAATAGGTTAAAACCTTATATGGAGCCAACTAAACATAAACTAAGTTCCAGTGAAAATGGTAAATCAAACAAAAACGAGCTCATGACTCACAAAGAAAATAATACAGCAGTCAAAAAAGTCAATAATAATAACAATGATAATAGTAGTGAAACTAATAAAACCAAAGCAGGAAGAAAAATTAGAGGAGGAAGAAAAATAATAACTACTTCTATTTTTAGATATTTCTTTCCATTTAGTAGCACTGCTTTTTGGTGGGGGGGACTATTTGTAGTGAGTAAAAAAATAAAGTAAAATATAAAAATAATATATAAACAAAAAAAACAGAATTCAAATTAAAATAACATCACTATATGTGGAGAATTTGAAAAGGAACATTTTACTAAATATTTAAATCATATGGTCATTTTCCAATATAGAAAAAAAAATAGTTCATTAGGTACACAAAAAAGTATTCTTTCTTAGTGTGAAATTGAAACAGAAAGAAATTGTTTATTTGCAATAAATTTATATGAAAAGAAAAGAAGGATGTAAAAGCTTGTTCTAAATATTCTTTTGCATGCCTAATAAAAAATTAAGACAGGTAGAGAAAAATATTCATTTAAAAGTGGGATGATAAAATTAAAAAATGCTCTTGGTAAAGGGATACAGTAAAAGTTCATATGTTGTAGTTAATGTTATGACTTGTCAGGGGTCAATAGGTCAGTCATAGTAGTGAAGCATTTGTTGTTGAATGAGAAGTTCTGAAGCAAAAATTATGATAGCAGTAATATATCTTTAAGGAAAGCTTGGTCTTTGTCTGTTTGAAGGTTGCTTCAGAAGATCAAAATGCCAGTTTTTAGTTTTGGCATGTTGGGAGTTTGGGTTGGCCATGTGGCATTTCAGAGTCTCTTACTCTTAGTTGAAAATGTTAATTGATGTGCTTCACTCCATCTTACTTGACTAGTCATTCTTGATGAGGTGTGAATGAATAATGATTTTAACCAGCAAATGACCTTGTTTATATTTAAGCCCTTAACTAGCTAATGACTTTGTTTAAATTTAAGTCCACAGGCTGGTGAATGAATAGTGATTTTAACTGCCCAACAACCTGGTTTATATTTAAGCCCATCGGCTATCATGTATTTCAATTTCCATTCTTCTGATTGGTCAAATATAATTCAAAGGATGAGTTATCTTTTCAATCCTTTTTTTTTTCAAAATATTCGGTTTTATTACTCTGAGCCAGACACAGCATTGCCTTAAACAGGCTGAAAATCAAGACCTATAAAAAGTATTTATCTATGCACCCATATGCATAGAATGTGACACAAGGTCAAGTTTAAAATGGGATTTTGGCAGCCATTCAAAAATTGCTCAAGCTCTCTCAGCACTTAGCTGTTTAGTGTCACCTCAGAGACTGGGTAATGACCCTATTCTTTCCTAAAGGAAAGGCTTATGAAGAATCGTCCTGCCCAAATACCTCATTGGTTAATAATGTTTTTGCTCTTAGGTAGTGGTAAGGAGCATAAGGCAATATTTTTTTCAAATTAATTTTTATAATCATCAACGACCAAAATCATGTTGTAACCAATTATTAACTTTGGTTATCATATTAGCTAATTCATAGCACTTGTTCTTTTATCATTGTTTGAAAAATAATTGCAATAAAGCTAATTTTTAATCCCTAGAAAAACTGATTTAACTTAATTATTCATTGAAGAGAATATATATCATATTTATAACAATAGCTCAATAAATATCAGGCTACTATGACTCAAAAAAAAAAAAATTTTTAAACACCATTTAAAATATTTTTTCAAAACCTTGATTTTTTAGTTTATTTTCTATGCTGCGACACTTTCAAATCGTCTGCTTATTTATTAAGGGGAACGCACTCACTGTACAATAGTTTCGTATATATTTATTGTCAAGTTGGAAGCATATAAATATTTTGAATATATTTAATTAATTTTATATTACAAATTGCATTAGATTTATAAATAATAGTGACCTTTAAAGAAAAACCACAAAATTAAACAATCATCTAAATACAGAGCCAGCTTCAGACGCCACATTAACATGGCGACCGTAGACGAAGAAATTAAGACTCTCACCTACTACAACTTCCGACCTCTACTTCTTCGTGGTTATGTAGGACCTTTCCTTGTGCTGTATATACTCTGGTTATATCTGTATGTGTTTGTGTATGGCACAAAAGATTACTTTGATGCTGGTGTCATCGCCGTCGGTATTATTTTGTTCATACATGTGCTGACCAGGTTGTTTTGCGTGTGGTCTGTTCATGTCCAGTGTGCCCTAACCTGCTCTGTTGTAAGTCTAATTCAGTTCTTTACACTTTCGGAAAAAACCTCAGTTTTCCTTAAAGAAAAATCACTCAGTAAGGTTGTCTGTTTTATAGTTTATATTCGTCTTTTTCAATTCTTTCATTCATCAACTGGCGGGATACTCAAAAAGGCTCTTAGTCTCTAGTCACTTTCATTTTAAAACACGTAACAAACATATGGCCTTTCCCTTTTCCCCGGTTAAATAATTTTATAACTTCACACAGTCTCTTTTTTGCTTCCTGGTTGTTTAAAATCGTAACTTCTCTCCCGATTAAACGCTTCAAATTTAAAAAAAAATTAATATGCTTCTTTAATTAAAAAAAAAAAAATGAAATAAGTTTTACATTTTACTAGAATAATTTGCCTTTAAAACACAAATAAATAAGTTGTTTTTTTAATTGATGTACACTAGGAACACCGGGTATAACACGCTTTGTTGTTTTCTATCTTTTTATTTTAGAAATCATAAACGTATCTGAAAGATTTCGCAGAAATTTTTATAAGGGGAAAAAAAAAGAATTTTGTTTTTCCGAAAAAGTCTAATCCTGTAAAAATGTTTCCTTATTGAGATCTGAATCACATTTTTTCACGTTAGACTTACTGGAAATTCAAATTCAAATAATCTGTTAATTGTTTACGTTAAAGTTCTTCCCCATACACAAACAAACATTTGTCGCAGTGTATCGGTTTCATTTTTTATAGTTCATTACCAAATAATTTGAATATCAACTTAAAAATAAAATTTAAAGCTTAAAACGTTCGAAGATGCAAACAAAAATGAATCTGACAAAAATTTGATTTTTCATTTCGTCAGGGTTTGACGATTGTCTTACCTAAAACATCAAGGTTATACAGGTTATTTTGTTAGTCTATTTATTAAATGTAAATTAGCTACTTGCTCAGCATTGACTGCTTGAAAAGTTTCGGGGCTTATTGACTCTCGGGACTTTATCATTCTGAGATCTCCTTTGAATCTCTAAAAAGTCTGACGTTTTTATTCTTATTTTACAAATTCCGAGATTCATTGGTCACAACTTTTTGACATATTTCAATCAATGGAAACATACTTGTAATAAATGTTTTCATTTTCTCATGCATGAATAACTTTCATATCATCAGTGTTGTGTGTTCAAGTACAATTGGATTTTTCGTCTGTATTTTCAGTGCATACTCGCAACTTGACTCATTGTTGAAAAATTCCAATCACTTGACTTGCCTAAGGAATCAATCTTTTAAAATACACAATGCCCGAATGAATGTAAATCAGGCTGCTCATATATTTGAGATTTAAACAGAGGAAAGGAGATCATGAATGACAACTATGGCATCACATAGTCACTAAAAAAAGTAACATTGTTTTAAAATGAATTAGTCACGAAAAAAAGTAACACTTTCAGCATTAAACTACTTCTTTGAAGCACCCTTCTTTTTTTCAATTTATAAATAAAAGTGCAGCTCGTTCATGCCAGTGGAAAATAGAAATCAATATACTAAAAAAATAAAAAAAATAAACCATTTATTCTTATTTATTTATTTTATTTTTTACCTGTTTGCCCTCTGCACCTTATTTGTCTGTCTTTAGGCATTTTTTCTTGAAGTAGAAAAGTCCAAGTATTGTAAGAATTTAGTTGTCTTTGGGTTTGTAATGACTATGTTCTATTCCTGAGTCTGCTGCATAGTATTGTCTTAGCAAGTGCAATTAATATTCCTCAATTAGTTCAGCTTGCTAACATTTTTTATGCTTTTTATTCAACTCCCATTTAAAGTGATAAACTTCTTTTCTTTGTTACCTTTAGTATTTGAAAGCAAGTCATATTGGCTTTTCCACTCTACAGGAGCAAAATGTTAATTAAGTTACTTATTTAAGGATGAGAATCCTCCTGTTTTTGTTTTTTCCTTCATTTTTATCCAAACAATTTGAGCCAAGAAAAGACAAAATTTTAATAGGATTCATTTATTACAAGCTTTTATCTTTCACAAAATTATGATTCACATTTTTGCTTCTTTTAAATTTTATTTTCCAGGAGAAAGATCCATTCCAAGCTTCTTGGGTCAAAGTAGTCCCAACACCAAATCATGGTTCAATAGAATTGGTGAGACTGCACCATGAAAAGGTATGAAATAAAAATTTGAAAATTTCCTTTCTAAAAAGATTCAAATGGAAAAAAAATAAAGAGAAAATGAAACTTTCAAGACATTCTCTTGAGAAAAATATATGATTACAAAAAGCAATCTAACTGTCTCTTAAATTCACCTGCTTTATTATCTGTCAATTTTGATGTACTTGGTTTTTGATTCTAGGTTTTTATTATGTCAATTTTTTTTTTTTTTTTTTTTCAAATGATTATAACCATTTAAAACTATCAATCTGACTAAATTCAGTATTGCTGGTTAAATATTTGTTTTCTTAAAATTTATATTTTGATTAATGCTAATTGACTAATTTGTAATTAGTTGGTTAATCCATTTTTTCTGAATGCATTAAAATGACAACTATTAATTTTCCTACTGTTTTTTTTTTTTTTTTTTTTAATGGATAGTATCATAATAAAATTATTTTTGTCATATTTTTTTTTTCCCTCCAGTCATTTGATGATTGAAATGGCCAGATAGTTTCAATTGGAATCTGTGAAGTAACAATTTATTTTTGTTGATTCTTTTGAATATATGAGGAAACTGTCAAGAGGAAACTTGGGGCCAAGATCAGTGGTAGATTCTTCTCGCATGTTTTCACAAAATAAATGCATTTCTGATGGCAAATTCATGCATGCAAGTTTTGCATCTTGCTAATACTTTCAGCCTATTTCAAAAAGTTCTTTTTAATTTAAAAAAGAAAAAAAAATCGTAAAAATTATTACTTTTCTTTCTTCTCACTGATTATCAGTAATGAAACAGCATAATTTAAGATTTCTATTCATAATTGGTACGAAGTATCACTGCTATATACTATAATCCAGTTGAAGCTCACACTGACTTTGTCTTGTCTTTTGTATTTATGAAAGTTAATGCTGAAAACTCTTAAATTTTATTTGTAATGAGAAAATTTGTAAATATATTATTTTCAATTCTTTTCAGGATACATCCCAGAAGGAAGTTTGGTTTACCTTTCAAAAGACAAAGTATATTTATGATGCAGAAGAGAAGAAACGTTTTCAGCCATTAAATTTCCCCATTGACCTGACCATCAGGCAATTTATGGAATGGAAAGGTTATCCTGATGAGAATGAAATCAAAATTTCTGAACAGAAATATGGCAAAAACACGTAAGATAGTCAAGATTTAATTTGGTTGACATTAGGATAAAAGAATATAAGCATAAAATCTTTTTCTCTCTATAATTGATTATTATAGAAATATATAATTTTCCATGTGAGAACTAAATATTTATTTTGTAGATGATTTGCATTAAGTACATCCATTTTGTTGATGAAAAAAGGCCCCAAACTTAATAAAAACAAAGTTTTATTGTCAAAATGTTTTGTTATTATTAAGAGAAGTATTTTTTTTATTTTATTCAATTTTTTTTTAATCATTTCTAGCATGTTCAAAATTTTGGTTAAAAATCTTAATGTTTTTACATCAATGGTCTACATAATATTTACGATTAGTGTCTTAGCACCTTTTTTTTTTTTTTTTTTCAGGTGAAAAATACATTCATTTGGAAATCTTGCAAAATTTCAAGAAATTAAATTTCCATCTTAAAATTTTTTTATTAGTTAAAAAAAGAGGCTCCTTGCATAAAATGTAAATCATCATCTTTCGTTTTTTTTTTTTTTTTTTTTTTTTTTTTTTTAAACTATTACCCATTTCCCAAAAATCTGCTCTGAATTGTAAAATAGAAAAAAATGCAATAAAACTATAACATTATTTAATTAAATAAGCTTTTAATTGCTTTTATAAATAAGATTTATTAAGGGTACTATTGTCTTAAGAAAAAAAAAATTTTGATGAAAAATGAAGTTTTACAAGAATTGTTTTCATTTTTTTTTTATTCTAATTATAATAATTTATAATATATAAATCATTTAAAATTCTGCATTACTTCAATCTGGTTAGATGGTATTGTTATTAAGTAAAGACTATATTTACTAATCAAAAACTGAAAAGCTTAATACAAAGTATTTTGCTTCAAGATTTTTAAAATAATTTAAAAAATTTTTTTGTGTATAAAATATTTCATAATATGCTCCTGTTTGAAAGTATGGTCAACCATACACAACATTATCAGAAAATAAGAGCAATGACTACAGTAATATTAAATTCGGTATAACTTGAATTAGATTATGGGGAATATTTTCTTACATTTTTAAGATTACTGAGTACTTAAAAATTAAAAAAGGTGCTCACCTGTCATTTTCTTAAATTATGTTTTAGCAGATGAGGTCACCATAGAACAATAATAAACATGTCAACACTTATTAGTGCCTGTTAAGTGATCTACAAGTGACAAGCATGTAATCACCGCTACTGCTTGTCTTAAAAATCCATTTCTCTGTTATTTTAAACATAAAGTAAATAATATCTTCTTCGAATCAGATTAATTATACTCTAAACCAGCTTTATTATGAATAACAATGTCACAGAAAACTGATTGAATTAACTTTGTAACAAATAATATCATTTTCAAATAAATTTCACAGTGTTAAAATAAACCAAAGAGTTTTTGGAACAAAAGTTTGTTAAAAATTAAACAAAACATTAAAATTAACTTTTTGGGGAAAGACTTTTTAACATTTGTAATAAGAAAAATTAGAAAATTATTAAACTCACACTCTTTGGGTCATGTCACTGGATCTAATTAATGCCTTTATCCACTGTGCCATGTGTCCTCAAGGACACATGGCACAGTGGATAAAGGACCCAAAGAATGTGAGTTCAATACTTGGTTAAGGTGGTGGAGGACTTGGAAAGAGGAATTAACAGGAGATAACTGACATCCATTAGACATAGCACATGGAACTAGAACAGTCTACCCCAGTGAGTGAAATAAAGAGATCAGTTTGACATTCCAACCACCTGAAGAAGGCCAGAACATACAACGGCCAAAACGTTGTGATAAATATGGCAACAAAGATGAGGACAATAGTCCGAATAATGTAAATAGTGTACATAATACCTCATCTCAGAAATATAGATAGATAAAAAAGTTTGCTTTTTGCCATAAAAACAAAAAATAATATAGCATGTCCAAAGGAAATAAAATAAGTAAATCTTATACTTATTTCAAATAAGTTTGTTATTCCAAGTATAAAAGTAAAAGCTTCCTTGAATTTTTTAATCTAGTTAAAGCAATGAAACTAAAAATCTTTGCTTCCAATTGAGCTATGAAATTTGAGATAGGTCTCCAGTCCTGGATGAGAATTACACTTGACATGGTTTTTAGTATAAAAGCACCATGACAGGGATTTGTATAAAGGCTGAATTACATTTTGAAAATTTAATTATAAATATGGATTTACTTAAATTATGCCAAATTTGACACAAGACTTTATTCTAATAGGGCTCTTAGTATTATCAATGGTTTGGAAGATGAAAGTTGCTAAACAAGTATTTTTTGGAATTTTGGATAAGACACAACTCTTTCTGCATAGATCTACTGTCCTCAAAAGAACTGCCAGTATGCTACAAATGTCAATTATTCTGTGGAATTGATTGTGTACTTTGCTGTTACTTATGTTTGGTGATGAGTTAAGCCACTATAAAATTGAAACATTTTTTTATAATTGGTTTATAGTAATAATTCAAAAGCCTTAGATGAAGTTAATGCAAAAAGGAATAGATTTGACTTTCTATAGTTGAGACAAGAGAAATGAACATGATTTTTCATGTTATATAAACATACCTACATTAACAGTTGCTATAAAATAGGACTTTCTCAAAATAAACACTTCATGTCAAATTAATAAAACTACATTTTAGTAGATCTTGAATTTAAAGTCTTTTTACTTTTCTTTTTAGGTGATGATTTTATTACTGTTGTGTAAACAATTTTAGCTTGCTTTTCACTCTGTCTCATTGATTAAAACTTACATGCTTTTTTACAAGACTTTCTCTAATATAGCTTTAAAATATAAGTTTAGTGTTAGCATCTTATGAAGGAAGAGATTAGATTATTCTTAAAAAAAAAAAAAATTCATACAGGTTAGTGTTGGCATTTGACTTTACCCATCAGATGCTAATAAAAAACATAGTCTTGAATATTCACATATAAAATAATGTCATGATTAAAATATCTTTGGAGATGAGATACTTGACCAGTTCATTTAAATATATCAGGACTACACAATATTTGAACCAGAGATGGCTTTCTCTTCCTGAAGCATTTTATCATACATTTAATGATAAAATTAATCTATTACTATGTAAAATTTCATTAAAGTTTTAGATCTTTTTGCTTAATCTATCTTATTGGCTGATGGTAACCTTAGAGCTGGTGTATTTTAAATTTTAAGTTCCTCCTCCCACCCTCTTAAAAAATTGGAATTCATGTACTAATGGGTTAAATAGTTTCAGTATCTTAATTTAGTGATTAATAAATCCAGAGTGTAGTTCAACCTTTAAACCTATTGTGTATCTATAATCTTTTCAGTTCAGTGTGATCTGTTGTGCATTTTTTTAATTTATAAATAATAATTATAATAATCTGATACTTTTTCAGACTTTTATATTCATTTTGTCACTTTCAGCATGGAAATGGTTGTTCCAAAATTCATGGAGTTATTCCAAGAGAGAGCAACCGCTCCCTTTTTTATATTCCAAGTATTTGGTGTTGCCCTGTGGAGTCTGGAAGAATATTGGTACTACAGTCTCTTCACTCTGGTTATGTTGGTGGCCTTTGAAGCAACTCTAGTTCAACAACAACTGCGTAATATGACAGAAATTAGGAAAATGGGAAATAAACCCTACATTATTCAGGTAAGCTTCATATAAATGCTATTATCTGTATTCAAGATTTAGGGCATTAATCTATATAGGTAAGCAATAAGTTTTACTATTGTATAATAATTACATTTTTATAAAAGTTCTACTTGTTTCTACAAGACCAAATTTACATGTTCTTGTTGATTAATCTGCTGCATTAACTTTGACAACACATCTCATGTCGATCATTGCAGTGGTTTTAATGCCTACTGACTGTTTATACAATTTAAGAAAAAATAAATAATTTGTCTAGGTAAATATTGCAGAGATCTCCAGAATATAAAACCATTCTTGATGATTTTTGTCAATTTCTGTTTAAGTAATACCTGGATTCATGTTAATCTTTCAATTCGCATTTGAATTTTCTCTGTACAGTAAACGTTTTGGGTAAAAAGACTAATGGTGGGTGGAGAAAGTGTCTGTTAATGTTGAAAGTTTATTAAATTTAAATGTAACTTAGGTGGCCTGCTTTTTGCTTAAATTTGTTCATTTTATTTATTAGGAGCACCCAGTAAAAAATATACTAACAATGACTTTTAAAAAGTAACAAGCTAACCAATGCTTACAGCAGTTGCTTTTGCTGGCTTATATTTCAATATTCCATACCTTTTACTCTACAAACCAGATGAGGCAGTGGATTTTCTTAGAAATGGATTGTCACAGCAACAAGCCAGCAGAAAACCATCTGATTTGGTAGACATAAATTTCAATTTTACTAGAGAATCTTAACACCCAGAATTCATCTCTTTACAAAAATATTTCATGTGTACTTATCAGAAAGACAAATATACCTGTTTACCTTGTTTTTTATATGATGATAATTATTTACACAGTACAATAATCTATATTACAGTGTGGTAATAAAAAAAATTAATGGTGCCTATTCTTGCAGGTATACAGAAATCGTCGTTGGCGAGGTATTGTTAGTAATGAACTAATTCCAGGAGATATAGTCTCTATTGGTAAGTTGCAGATGCTGATTATCATTTATATCCTTAAAAATGAAATCCTTTCTTTTAATTCAATGAATACTGGTCATCAATAAACTGAAACCTTCACTTTTTTTTTCTTTTTAACTGATAGTTCAATCAATACAAGGCTCAAGGGCCACTCAAGGTAGAAGGTTACTGGATAAGATTGTAAGGGAAGTAAAAGTATTATGAGGACGAGTAGGATAAATATTGGTTGATGCTGGACTTAGAGACCAAGATTGTAATTGTCAGGGAAGCATCCTCTGGGGAGTTTGTTCCACAAAGTAACAGTTCTGAGGAAGGAGCTGTCTAAATGGAACATGCTTTTTATCGAAGGGAATGGGGATACTTTGTCAGTGTGAGCATAGCGAGTCCTAGCTCTAAAGGTCCAATCTGGTAGCACTAAGGAATATAACTCCTGAACATCTCATTGTGATGTAGTAGTGAAAAGCTAGCAACATTTTGTCTGTGGGATAAGAGTTGCAGAGTGGAGAATAATGCAGCACCAGCCCAGATGTGGAAGCAAAATTCCAATCTTGGTCTGATCTGGCTCTTGGAAAGATAGATCATGACAGCAGCAGTTAGGTATTTTCTGGAACGATTTAAAGAACCAACTATTCTTTCAGTATCTTTTGCGATAGCATGGATATACATGTTGCATTTGAGGTTGGGAGTAAGCTTTAGACACTGTAGGTGTCGAAGCCCATGAGCCTCTTTGGGGATATGACCAGTCATCAGGATTGGTGAAGATTTTTAAGGACTGCTCGGTGGTGATGAAATGTTAGGAGTTTAGTTTTGAATGTATTGAATGATATCAGCTGAAAGTTTCTTGATTGATACAAAATAGAAAGAGGGTAGAGCCAAAGAGAAAGCCTTGGGAGATGTCAGCAGTGATTTCCAGTGCTTCAGAGGACTGGCCATTAACAACAACTTTCATAGACAGGAAAAACTTGAAAACTGAGAAAACACTCCCTGGGATTCCATAGCTGGTTAGTTTGTGTAGCAGTCCCCTATATCACAACTTATCAAAGGCCTTCAACATATCTAGTATGATCACTCTTGAGAGATTTTTATTATCGAGAGCTTCACTGATTTTATCCTTGATAATAGTTTTAGTTGATGTTGAACAACATTCTTGTTTATGATAGCTTCAAAATGTTTACTAATGACACAAAGGAGGCAGGTGAGTCACCATCCCTGTCACAATATCACTATATTGTGACAGGGATGGTGACTCACCTGCATTCTTGAACACCGGGCATGCACAAGACACCTTTCATTTGTTCAGGAGCCATTGTACTTCAAACATAGAAACATATCCTGGGCAGCCTGATGCAATAGATATTGGGCAGTATAATATGTTTAAATTTAGTTATGTTCTTGAAATTTAATTGTTGATATCATTACATACATTAAACATTACATGCCTTTTAAAAACATCACTTTACTTGGAATAACTGTTCAGCCAGTTTTATGCTCTATAAAAAAAATCTTTTGTAATAATGTGATAATTATAATAATAGTAACTAATGGGAGGAAAAAATTTCTTCATCTTTTGAAGGTCGAACCCAAGATGAGAAATTGGTTCCCTGTGATTTACTCCTCCTTCGAGGACCCTGTATTGTCGATGAATCAATGTTAACTGGAGAGTCTGTTCCTGTTATGAAGGTGAGAAAAAAATCTCTTGAAGATGGACTTTGGAAGCTTGAGAAAAGAGTATTCTTATAATTCATGTATTTTAAAATAAATTCTTATTGCTGTACAGAGAAATATTAGTTTTTACTTAAATTCCAAGTTTCTGAGAAATATGAGATTAGTATTTATAAAAACCTTTTAAAACGGAATCATTATTATTTTAAAGACATTTTTATGTTTAACATTCTTTTTATAGATACAAGTATTTAAGTAAATGCTCTGTTTATAATAAACAGTATTAAATAACATTTACCGGCCTGAATGTCCAAGAAATTTTCATAGAAAATATTCGTCCTTTGACAGTATTTGAACCTGTATCCTATACGGAATCGTCATATAGCCTGACATGCCTTACCTCTCGGCCACAAAGGATGTGTGACGTCATTTGTTTACATTTGATACGCCATGAGCAGTTATGAATGTACGTGAGATTCATGGAAAATTGAAGTTTATAAGCAGTAAATTTGACCTTGCCAACTGAACGATCCTTTGTGGCCGAGAGGTAAGGCACATCAGGCTATATGACGGTTCTGTATAGGATACAGGTTTGAATCCTGTCAAAGGACGAATATTTTCTATGAAAATTTCTCGGACATTCAGGCCGGTAAATGTTATTTAATACTGTTTATTATAAACAGAGCATTTACTTAAATACTTGTATCTATAAAAAGAATGTTAAACATAAAAATGTCTTTAAAATAATTGTCGAACTTTGTCCATTTCATAATGTGTGAAATCACTATCTTTCTGTGGGCACTTAGTTACAGCATAGCAATACATCTCTTTTGGCAATTTCAAGTGTATGCACACTGCACAGTCATGTCAATTATTGTAATTTGGATAAATTTAATTTTATTCTGTTAATAATGTGAAGGCGGGAGAAGAAAAAAAAATATGAAGCTGTTGTGATGAGACTGACACAAGTTTTGTATCAAATATCAAAAAAAGAGATACTTATGCAGAACAGTACCCACCACATTTTTTTTTCTGAATTGTTTTTTAATTTTTAATAATGCCATTTGTCAACTTGGGTAGCTCTTCATGTACAAATCAAATTGAATAAATGTGGCAGGAGGTTAAACAGTGAAATGAGCATGACTCTGGAATACATTAACAAATGATTTTCTAACTGAATTTGGTAGGATAATCTTTTAAACTAAGAAATAGAGAAGATATCCCTAGACATAATCAGTGGAACGAGAATGTGTCCTCGACCCCCAATTAAATAAAGGGTTCAGTTTTTAATTCCTTGAAGGTTACCCAGATTGACAAACATCTGATGAAGGCTAATGGGCACAAATGCCGAAATGTTATAATAGCAACAATGATGAGGACAATAGCCTACATGTAAATAATAACTCTTCATCTCTGAAATTCAAGCAGAAATTTTTTAGAAATAATATTTTTAAAAAAAATCATTTTTTCTTGTTTGAAATTAGCAACAATTCTGAGGATTGGTGTGGTACCATTTCACAGAAGCACCAAAATTTATTTCAAAATAAATCCGTACTGTCAGCAATTAGAACAAAGTCTAATATCCCGTGAAAATTTATCAAACTTTTAACAAAGATATTTTTAACCCTCCAACAAAACTCATGAGTACATCCCCAAAACTGTTAACATACATAAAAAATTTCTTTGTATTTCTTTCACATTCTTAGGAACCAGTTGAAAATTTGACTAATCAGGATCACGTCTTCAACCTGGAAACTGATGGTCAATTGCATGTGTTGTATGGAGGAACAAAGGTTGTTCAGCACACTCCTCCAAGTAAAACTGCCGCTGGATTGAAATGTAAGCTGATGATCTTTTGAATTTTGATTGTACATGTGCTCACTTGTACATTTATTGGGTGTATGCAGTAATGACTTTCAAGTAATATTTGTGGTTATCATCCCCCAGCAAGTTTTTGAGCAGTTTCGGTTTGCTCTTTGACTCTGAACACTTTCTATCATCAGACAACAATCAGCTGTTTCTACCAGGATGGATATTTAGGAAATTTAGTTTAATATGGCACTTAGCCAACAACAAGTGGAGATGCGTCATCATATTATAAGAAACTTCCAAATCGTGAGACTGTTTTGTCTTGAAAATGAACATTTTTTTTTTTTAACCAAATATTTTATCTAGGCTCAAACACCAACCTTTTGCACCAGTGATAAATAGATAACAATCACAGCCACCAGTCTAACTGATCTAAACTCAAAAGTAAATGTTACTTTTATATGGTGACTGTTGTTGGCAGAGCACCACTTGTGCCTATTACCTAGATTTTGGCTTTTTTTTTTTTGTGTGTGTGTTAATGAAATTGGCTCCCAACTCACTGCCATTTTATTCTTCTAAATGTTGAAGGTAATATTACAGAGAACTGATCTTATCATGATTTATACATTAGCATCTTCTAAAAATCCAATTCTACAGATTCTGATCATGATCAAAATTGCAGTCAGTATTCTTAAAATCATGTTTTCCACTATAGTAAATTTGTTTAAAATAGAACCAAAAATTAAGAAAGTTATAAAACAAAAACTGTTTCTTCCAAAAGTGTATTATCCAAAATTACAGAACATTGTTATATTCATGGGTGACTTTAAAAAAAACATGTAGTACTCAAAAAAATTGCAGTGTAGACAAATATTCCTTATTGATCTGCAGCATTGAAGCCATTGAAAAATTGATTAACACATACATGTCAAGTTGTTTAATTAAAAACTCAGAGGATAATGATTTCTGCTATTGCAAAATAAATTAATGGATTTAAGTGTAATTGTTAGAATTACAAAGCTTTATGCTGATAGCAGTTGACTCCTTTTAAATCCCCTAAAACGCCAGGATGGTTACTTAAACAACTGCTTGGAAAAGTTGGGTGATTTTTAAAAATATTTTGACAGTGAGCATTGCATGTCAGGGAGCTGAAGAATTTGGCATGCAAAAGTCTTGCCAATGTTGTATCATTTCATGTGAAGCAGGGCTTTTTGCACATTCTCCTGCCATCAAAGCTTTTATCTAGAACCAAAATGTTGGACTTGTCTTTGCAAGCAAGTACATTGTTTGTACCAATGAAAATTGGGTGGCAGTATGTTTCCATTATGAAAGCTTAATTTGATTGGCTGTGATGACAAAAAATATATCCAATTGTGTAAAAGTAAGAGATTGTTTTCTAAATATGTGGAAAAAAATCAGTTAAATTTCAAAGTGGTAGTATATTGTTTGGTGTTAGTTCTGTGACCCACTTATTCAGGTACATGGCACAGTAAATGCAATAGTGTAAAAGATGATTAAACAACCTGTTGTTTCTTTTCTGAGAATATCTCCTGTTCTTGGGCCCACCTTTGTGCATATTAATGCCCTTGTCATACTGCAAAAAGTAAAATGTTAATTGTTTGAAACTGAAAATTTCCAGGATGTTGAATAATGTTAGAGAAAAGAAATTATTATAGTAACTAACCAAAACTGCAAGAGGAGTGAGATAAAATTACACCTGAATAATGTAACAAATTAGTGAAATCATCTAGTAATAGACAAGCAAAATTAATTAAAAGCCATGGCATGTACATACCTTATTATTTTGCATCAATATTAATTGAAATTTGTAATTACTATTTTATTCTATAACTTTTCTTTTGTTTTTTTGTTTTTTTAAATTTTTTTTTTACAAATTTATTTAATCATACAGAACAGTTTTTTGAGAATATTTATGGTCATTTTTTATCCTTATATAGAATCTAGTTTTTTAAACTTTCATTCTCTAATATTGAATAATAATGTAATAATTATTTTTCTTTAAATTACAGAAAATTGAAGATCAGTTAGAAATTTGTTTGGGTTGACTATTTTTCAGATACTAAGTTTTTAATAAAAGTTAATTTTAAATAATTACTTCTCTCTCCCTACCATTATGGATTTGCATAATCATATTTTCATGTCTTGTTTATACTTTCAGGTGACAACATGTGTATTGCTTATGTTTTGCGGCACAGTTTCAATACCTCTCAGGGCAAACTGTTGCGTACCATTCTCTTTGGTTCCAAGCATCTGACTGCCAACAATTTGGAAACCTTCTTCTTCATTCTCTTCCTGCTTGTCTTTGCTATCATAGCTGCAGCTTATGTTTGGATTTATGGTAAAATTATTTCCTCACCATGAAATTAATATTGAATTAGATTTAGATGTGCTAAATTCTTCATTTTAATCTTCTTTTCTTTTTTTTAAGAACATAATAAGAATTCAAAATAGCTTTAATATATGCTTTAATATCGAGGCTAAAAAACACATTGTAACTAAAGAATAGCAATTATTGAACGTCTCAAACTCATAATGATTATATTATTTTAATATAAAAATACTAAAGAATAGTGTTTAAAAAAAAAAAAAAAAAACACATCAAAAGGGTTAAAGATTAATCTCGAAGAATATATCTAAGTGACTAAATGTTTCTTTTGCTTTTCTCATTTGCAGGTACCATGGATCCTGACAGAAACCGATATAAATTATTCTTGGAATGCACCATCATTTTGACTTCAGTTGTCCCACCAGAATTACCAATAGAACTCTCTTTAGCTGTTAACACTTCACTATTAGCACTCATTAAATTCAGTAAGTAAATTAAGCCTTCATTCCATTATAGTCAATCTAATTTGTATTTGATTGTATTATTAATATTCTGTACTTTTGTCAATGTGTTCTTTAGATATCTACTGTACAGAACCTTTCCGTATTCCATCTGCTGGCAAGCTGGACATTTGTTGTTTTGATAAAACTGGAACATTAACAAGTGACAAATTAGTTGTAGAAGGTGTAGCAGGACTTGAGTGAGTTGGAGTTTTTTTTTTTTTTTATTTATTTATTTTCTAACCAGAAAGAGAATTTTATCACAATCATATAAATGTTCAGTATAACTCAAGATTAATTTAGAGCAATCATTAACTTTTAGTAGTCAAGTCTATACATAAAGTTTATTTTTAAATTATGGATGAAAACAAAGAATCGATATTAAGAGCTTCATTCAGTTTTGATAGACATGCTAAAAGGAGTCTCGTAATGCATTTTTTTATAGTAATAGAAAATTCTCTTTCCTAAACCAAGATCAATGAATAATTGTATGTTATTTTGCATTTTCATGTTTATGTAAACTTAGCTAAGCAACATGATTCAATCAGTCTGCTAAATATAGATGCTCATTTATTTTACATTGTATAAGAAGTTACTACAATGTTTTGTATTTTTTTTTCCTCTCTGCTCATCTAGGGGTAAAAACTTGGTCCCCACTCACACTGCTCCTGTAATTACTAACCAAGTGCTGGCCACTTGTCACTCCCTTGTTCAAATGGAAGAAGAACTTATTGGAGATCCTCTAGAAAAGGCCACTCTCCATGCTGTTGAGTGGAAATTAACCAGAAGTAAAGCCACCTTTCTCTCTCTTGCATATATATATATATATATATATATATATATATATATATATATATGTATATAATGACTTTTTACTAAATAGAAGCATGAAGAGAAAGATTTTAAAGTTGTAATTTTCGGACTCAAGATTGTTGTTGTTGGTTTAAGGGCTTCCTGTGAAATATATATTCTGAGTAAACCCAAATCCTTGTTTAATCTCCAAAAGAGTAAGTTCCACTTGTTTATTTTTTGCATCGTTGAAAAAGGACACAGGTGTATCCCAAAATTTTGATTAAAATCTTTCTCTTTGTCAAAAGGCCTTACTAATATATATAAGGTTTTCTATTTATCATTTTGTTTAGAGTGCCAAGTCTTTCATCTAAAATACATCATTTTATTTGCTTTCTTGAATTCAAACTGGTTTTTCTATTAGACTTTGCCTCTAATTATATTTTTTGTTTTTGTATTGTTTCACATTGTACAATGCACTTTCTATAACACATTGCTCACTTTACATTTTTTTTTTTTTTTTGTTTCTTCAAATGAATTGTTAACAACTCAGCTTTGACATGGTCAAGTAGTTCTTTGTGCTTTAGTCAGAAGACCTACTAACATATATACCATATATCTTATTGCCAATATTGTTCTCATTTTGTTGTTACATGTTAAAAAAGATGAATTTAGTTTTAGTCATTTATGTAACCACAAATATTGAAATGAAACACTTTGCAAAATAAGGCATCTTGCAGCAATATTGATATTTTATTTTCTTTTTTCATAGATGATGCCGTCATTCCAATGAAGATGAAAACTCATGGGCTGAAAATTTATCATCGGTTTCACTTCTCCAGTGCTCTGAAGAGAATGTCAGTGATTGCAGGGTACACACCACCAGGTTCAGGAGAGACTGAATACATTGCCACAGTAAAAGGAGCTCCAGAGACTCTGAAAAGCATGGTAAAATAAAGAATTTAATCTATCCTAATTGTTTTAGAACTGTTTTTCTGTTCTACTGCATACATAAATGCTCCATCATTTAGATGATTTCAGATAATCTTTCCACCAAGTCAAAATTTTGCAGGACATTCTCTCATATTCTGAATCAAATATTTTATTTCTTTAGTATTACTATAATAAAGATGTAAGGTATTGAATGCTTTTGATATCATCACAAATATGAATGTCCAGAGAATTTAAGCCAATATTCATTTCCTATAAATCTAATTTTATTGATAAATATATTTCATCCCTTTTCAAATTTATGCATTTTTATTTAGTTTTTCAAAAAATATATAGTCATTTCACTATGAGTGCTACTGATACCTTGTAATGCAGTACTACCTACATCATGCTCGGGTTATCAGTGGCTAAACCCTTTGCAGAATTAAAAACAATACCTGTCTGTCAAAGGACAGGTGAATCCTTTGATGGGGAACAGGCATGAGGAAGTAGAAATACCTGGGTTTGTGTTCAAGTGCATGACAAGCCCAGTGGGAGCATCTTTACTCCTTAGCTTTTGTTAATGTATCCATCTCTGAGAAGGAAACCTTTGATACAACACTTGCAGCTTGACCACATCCAAAGATGTTAACTAGTTTTTGTTTTTGGGTACATATGCTGTTCTTTCTCAGGGAGTGGGATTGACCTAGTACAATAACTCTCTACACATTAAAAGAATTTCATGCATAAACATTGCTTAATACTGTAATGATACCTTGACCTAGTACAATAACTCTCTACACATTAAAAGAATTTCATGCATAAACATTGCTTAATACTGTAATGATACCTTGTGATGGTTGTTCTCAACAATAAGGTAGAAACCATCATATGTCATTTTTAATTTTTTTTTCCCCAGTTCAAAAATCCTCCTGGAGATTATGATGAAGTATACCTAGCAATGGCCAGAAGAGGAGCAAGAGTTTTGGCCTTGGGCCATAAAACTCTTGGGGTGTTATCTCATCAACAGGTAAACTAATTAATGACTCTTATTTAAGATCAGTATGTCTGTGTGTCTGTTTATTTCTTGTTTTTTTTTTTTTTTTTTACATTCAATCAAAATGTTTTCAAGCATAAATCACTGAAAAATACAATTTTGCTCCAAATAATTATTTTAAAATGTTTGCATTATAAACTAGTCACGAAAATAATGAAATTGCGGTGTATCATTTTGATATATAGAATTTTTTTTTTTTTTTTAAACAATAATGTTCATCATGCACTTGAGGTAGAGGGTTAAAGTGTAAGAGGCACAGTTTATGGGGGAACATAACAGTTAATCCTAGACTTGAACAGGTTACAGTTGTAGTGATTAGGGAAGCATCCTCTTAGGAATTGGTTCCACAAAGCAGCAATTTGTGTGAAGAAGCTGCTTGATTGGAACTTACATCTCACTAATACAATATGAAGGGAATGTAAATAAAATAAATAAATAAAAATAAAACAATTTTGGCATTCACAATTTTAGACAATGTGCTGGAGTAAAAGGTTTTTATATTTTTGGCTAATTCTAAATATTGCAAAGTTATCTCCCTTGCTTCAAACTAGGATGTTATTTTGCCTGTAGATTGCTTTATTTAGATGAAAACAATGCCGACCCCATTGTTTATATAATTATTTTTTCTGTTGTATATTAAAAGATTTTTACTAAATGAAATATTATTCAATTAAATAAGGCTTAATGTAGCATATGAAGAGTACAGATATATAAATTTACTGTAACAATGCAAAGTCTATTAAATGTATTGACATTATTAAACACTTTAATCCAGGTAAATATTTATCGGCAATTATTGTTTTTTTTTGTTTTTTTTCTTCTTTTAATCTATAGGTTCGAGATCTAAACAGGGATAATGTTGAATGCTACTTGCAATTTGCTGGTTTTGTTATTATTTCATGTCCTCTGAAATCTGATTCAAAAGCTGTGATCAAAGAAATTCAACAGTCTTCCCATCATGTAAGTGATCAACCATTACAATTTCATTTATTTTGGATGAGCTTCAGTTGTTGAGACCAGACATACTTTATGTCATCTAGCTTTATTTTTTTTTATTTTTTCCCCCCATATCCTTTATCTAAAATGGGCTGAATTTTATTTCTCCACTAAAATCATAATTGGAATGTAACTGTATATTATTTGTAATAAATGGAAGCAATAATGTAAAATTGCCTCTCATAATCATTGTCACATTTGCAGACAACACTCCAAATCAATATACTATCAATTACCACCAGAAATTTTCACAAAATCCAACATAGTTTTAAGCAAGGGAAAATTTCTGAATATTAATTTCTTTAAAAATTGCAACCACTTGCATCAAATATGAATTCTGTTGATTTTGGGCAAATTCAAAAGAACATTTTCAATACTTGCCTTTATCGCAGTTCCATGATTGTTAGCAGAATGCTGGTCAGTTGAACTTCCTGCTAAATCTTCTTTTGCAGGTAGGAATCCTGCTTCTTCCCCACTCCCTTTTCTTATCTCTGAGAGTTTGAGGCACATTTACCTTCATGTGTCTGGTGGGATTGTGCAGTAAATTCAACTGATCTAATCTGCCTTACAGATTTTAATATTTATTTTCAAAATTAGAATATCTTCTGTTTCAGCAATTTCCATAATTATTCCCCCATTTCATGATGTCATATAGCAATCATTTTAGAGGTGAAACTAGAGAAAACTTGAATGACTTGATATTGGTACAGAAAACAAATCTAAATATTTATTTCTTTGCTCAAGCTTATACTACACATTTTTTTTATTATAAAATACACTTTACAGATTATCTCCCACTTACAATTATTGAACCTTGAAATATTATGAAAACAGAATAGAAAGTTAGAACAAGAACTTCTGTTTTATGTCTGAGACTTAGGTTAGTTTTAAAATATGGCATTATTTATTCATTTATGGTAGTTGCTTTGTTAAATAGATGCAGGTTGGTATACCATACAGTGGCTTAGTACAGGTTAACATTTGTTTGCATTTTAGGCATATGGCTGAATAGATCGACAATGCATATGTATAACTAGTGTTGAATAATATTTCTGTATTTCAAAATTTATATTATGTAGCTATTGGCTGACTTTATTTTGTCACAGGGCCACATTAATAGAGCACTCAACAAAAATCAAACTTACTATGATAGCAACTAGTTTGTTGTCCCTGGCATTTTAGTGGCATTGATCACCTTGTTTGGGGTGAAATCGTGGGGAGATGAATAACATTTTTCAAGATTATCTACTTTAAAAAAAAAAATGCTTGTTTCTCTTAGGCATCTAAAAAGAAAAAATGTTCAATTTAATTTCTGCTTTAAAATTGTTTCTCTAACAATAATTTGTGTTTCTAATATTTTTATATTAGAAACTGGACAAAAAAATTGTGTATACATAGCAAATAACATTTTAATATTCTCTACTAAAAACAACTTCTTCCTTTCATTAATGTTTTTTTTTTTTGTGCAGGTTGGCATGATCACTGGGGATAATCCCCTCACTGCCTGCCATGTGGCTCAAGAACTTCACATTACCCATTGTGAACATACTCTTGTTTTGCAATCTCCTAATTCAAAATGTAAGTTTCTTTTTTTTTTTTCTTTTTCATTACACTTGATTGAATTTGAACTGTAAAATTCACCAATATTATTTTCTCTCTAATATTGTCTGTATAAAACACTTCACTTGCCTTTGGGCTTAGATTACAGAATATCCAATCAGTTACCTCATACTCTTTCATCTCCATTGTTGTTGCTAGTCACTTTTTTTTTTTTATTGAATGAGTCTAATATGAATATTGTATGTATAAAGTGGTTTGTGCTTCATTGTAATTCCACATCAAAAAATTATTAAATCTCTTAAAAGGACATCAAAAAGGAATATGAACATGAAGGGGTTTTGAACAAAACTTCTTAAATTAAAATCTAAGATACTACTAATATTTCTATTACTCCTACTATTATAAAAAAAAAAAAAAATAAAACAAACATCATGAAAAGACGTTATAGAATGGAGGGTGACAAATTATAGATTAAATTTGAGCTTAAAAGCTATCAAGTTCTTGTAGTTTTGCAGTTAAAACATCTGGATGCTTATCAAGCTTCTCTGAGAAAACCACCTGAAGAAGGCCGGAGCATACAATAAAAAATGTGATAAATATGGCAACAAAAATGAGGACAATAGTATGAATAATGTAAATAGTGTAGTTTTTAAGACAAAAATATTGAAGAGATGAAAATATTAAACTTAGTTGTAAAAACAATTACTTGAAAAGTTGAGACAAGGATAACTGTCATCATTTTAGACCTCCATTACGAGTAATTTATAATCAGTTGGACCTGTGAAAATTCCATGATTGTTAACATTTAAGATTTCTTTTCTCTCACCTTTGTCTGTATCTTCTCATTCTCTTCCTTATCCCTTCCAATCTTCATTGAGTATTCATATTTTTGTAAATATTATACAAATATGGATTAATTTTGTATGAAAAAGAATATAGAATGTACAAATATTTTCTACTGCATCTTCTTTCATCTTTTTCTCTATCTCTCCAAGAAAATTCCTATCAGAATTTTTGCACATTTCCATCCCCTCTTGCCTTTCAATATTTCACTCATTAAGTGTGTCATCTCCATTTTCATCCCACCTCATCCTCTCTTGTACATTTTTATTTTGTTTGATTTTCTTTTCTTTTTTTTTCTCTCACTTATTGTCTCCCTTTCATCCTTATCAATTACTTGTTTTCTCTTCTCTCAATTAATATTAAGTTTCTCAGTCAAAAAGCTTCATTCATGCCAGCTCTAAAGAGCTGGGGATTGAACAGATACTACCCTCTGATCATAGACAAAAATCTATAATATCTCATCTCCACCATTTCTCACACTTGTTTTGTTCCTCTTCTTTGAACAATAACAACTGGAACATTTCTATTATAATTACTTATAGTTTTTCTATGTTGCCATCTTGTCAACCTGCTTCATGAAACATTACAAAATATATTTGTGGTAAATATATTTCCAGTAATCATCATTCTCAATAAAAATGGTCAAAGATTCCAAAAATATAAAACTTGTGTGATTGGATGTTTTTTGGCATCATTCTGTTCTTCAGCACTCAAATGGTACTGGCAGTCAATTGATGACAACATCATTGAAAACCTTGAGGAAAACAACTTAAGAAATTTAATGTCAAAGTATGATTTGTGTGTTACAGGGCAGGTAAGTCTGTTTCTATTAAATTTCAAAACAATTTTTTTTTTCTGACCTTTCAATGCTATAGGTGCACACACACACACACACAGAGAGCAAAAGTAATGTATGTATATGTGAAGTGGCTAAAGGTGGTATAGCAGTAGAGGTTGGATCTTCTTGCCAATTACGCTTTTCTGTTTTTTTCTTTGTTTCATAACAATCTGGTAAAATGTGCATGAAGCAAATGTCATTGAATTTCTCCATGAGGAAAACCTTATCGAAGCTTGCTGAACAATTGCCTTTCATTTTTAAAGTCATGATTGTTATAAGGAGTTTTTTGTTCAGTATATCTTGGTACATAATCCATTCATTCTTCCAATGACTTTGAGTCAGGTAAATTGAAAATAAAATTTCTGTTTTAAGATAACTATTCAATATATCTAACATTTGTCATTCTCTCAAATGAGAAGTGGCAGACTGAAATGCTAGAAACAAAAATTGTAATGCAGAGAGTTTACTTGATATTTCTCAACATTTATTTTCACATTTCAGGGTAAATTTTAATTATCATTATTTTTTTTTTTTTATTTGTTCTCTTCATATTTGAAAAGTATAAGAATGTCATGAAACTTACTGGTCACTGGTTTTATTTCAGGGTATTTCGTATTTACAAACAACATTTCCCCACTTGATGAAAATACTCCTTCCTAATGTTAAAGTTTTTGCACGCGTAGCTCCAAAACAGAAGGTAAAACAACTTTCTTTCATATAAAGATAGGCTTTTTTTTTGCTTTTTTGCTTTCTTATAAAAAATAGACTTTTTTCTTAAATGTTTACATTTCTTCACCAATTGCAACTGCTTTTAAAGCAACAAATCTTTTACTTTAATTTATTTTTTTTTTTTCTCTTTTTTTTTCTCTTTAAATTGAATAAAATGTTGCTAATTTGAATTTTTAAGAGCTTGTGAACTAGTATTAAATTATATACATGAATTTTAATAACTTTTGGAACTTCAGTTTATAAGGCTTACTATTGTGGCAATCATGTGTCAATGCAGATGTGAAAGAGGCTTTGAATCATGTGCGAACTTGTCAAAACCAGTTACATCCAGGTTTTCCCTGTTAGCTGCAGAACAACTTGTCATGTCCAGATCCAGGTTTCTATCAATAAAAGTGGCAGGAAAGCCTGCAGTTGGAAAATTCTCTGTCTTGTGAAGTTGTTCCTCAAGTTGTTTGCTGTTCTGTGGTTTCTGAGGCTGTGCCTTTCTCTTCTCTGCCTGTTACTCCGTAGTTCTTGGGAGAGGAATTATTTATAAAGATTAAAATTTATTTTGTCATTTATTATACCAAACAGCATTGATACATTGTGTTGAATGTCAATTGCTTTGACACTAGTTCTTTTATTCTTTCTCAGGAGTTTGTCATAACATTATTTAAGGAACTTGGTTTTGTGTCATTAATGTGTGGAGATGGCACTAATGATGTTGGAGCTTTGAAGCATGCGGATGTTGGTTAGTAATCAATTTTCTTTTTCTCTCTACCCCCTTGAATTTCAGCTTTAGAAAAGAAAATTTTAAGGAAGGCCATTTCTAGTTTTATCTATAGACTAAAATCAAACCAGATAAAAAGAAAACACTTTATATGACTTATTTTAATTTAATAAAGATTTCAAAGCTGAGCCGTTTCTAGGTAAGACAGAAAATTTTATACTAAAAATTAACTTCCATATATCAAATTACATGATAGAAATTGATGAATATACTGACCTCCAATAAACTTTTCTTTAAGAACACAGTATGAAGAAACATTTTAAAAAAAGAAATAGAAAAGTAAGAAGATGCTGCATTGATTAAATGAGAAATTACGCAAATTTGATATTTTAGATCAGCTTTCTTTTAAGCCATTAAATAATTTTGCCTATAGCTTTTAAGACGTTAAGATTCCAAGTACTGTTTAGACAAACTTCCCCGTTGTGCTATTGTATTTTGGCCAATCCATTCTACATCCTTCTTCAGGGTGTATAATCTGTAAGGAAGAAATCTTTCCTAACCTGTCTGCAAAAATAACCTTCCTTTGTTACTAGTAAAGAATGCAGAAGCCTAGAATGGATCATTGGGCTTTCATTGCTGTGAAGAAAAATACTAACCATAGGTAACTATATAACATATATGATGTTCTGTGTTGTTAAATATTGTTGTAAATACTCTTAAATAAACTTAAACTGAGAATTTTTCTTATAATCTAAATGTTTTCGCTTGTAAAACAGGAGTTGCTTTGGTTGCCAATGCACCGGAAAGGATTTTAGACAAAAATGAAAAGAAAAAATCAAAGAAAACAGAAGTAAGTTTTTTTTGTTTTTTTTTTCCTGTTCATGCAATTAACATTTGAATTAGTGATCGTCTTGAAATTCCACCCAAGTCCTCCTTTTTTAATAATCAGATTAAGGAGAAACCAAACATTTTAATTTTTTTTTTTTTTTTCTTTTGACTCTTCCTCTATAGAGCAATACAAAATAAAATGTTGCAGGAAGAGACACTGCTTGTTAGCATTGCTAAACATAAAGAATATTTGTAATGAGTTGGTGCTTTCATAGACATTCTGTAAATGTTAGATTCGTGCTGAATGTGGCAGTTTAGCAACTACTTTGCATTTCACATTATTAGCCACTTCATTGTTGAAGATCTGATGATGGAAGCTTAATAAAAACAAATTGAATCACCATTCTGTCTCGCTTTGAGAGAAGATATGAAAGTCTTAAGCATTGTGGCAAAAGGATGGAATAAAAACTGGTAGTTACTAGCGGAAACCACCTCCATTGATTGAGATGTCAACAAGGAGATGGTGAGATTTTTGGAGATCTACAAACAATGTGAAAGTACCATTCATAACTTGTTAAATGTTTTTTTTACTTTCGCCATTATCTGCTTAGACATCTTCATCGTTTTTTGTTTTTTTTTATCCCAGGCATTAAGCAACAATGACAGTTCTTCATCTGTAGACAAACCCAACATACCAACAAGAGCCAAAATGACGAGTAAGGCTGCAAAGCAGCGAGCAGTAAACAGGGGAGATAACTTGGCATCAACCGAGGTATGTACAAGATAAATATTTAAACCACCACCATCAAACTCCATTCTAGGTGTGCGAATATAAAAATGATTAAATCACTTAATGAATAAGCACTTATTTCTTATTGAGAACATTCTATGTGCGACCAGCAACAAAAAATTTTAAGAAATTTATTTTCCTTTTCAGAAAAAAATAGCCAATCTTATGAAAAGAATGGAAGAAGAGGAGAAAGCCCAAGTTGTCAGGCTTGGAGATGCCAGTATAGCTGCACCATTTAGTTCTAAAGTTTCTTCTGCTCTGTCAGGTAAGTTGTTTTTTCTTTTTTATAAGTTATACATGCCACATGGTTATTATGGCTTTTACAAGCTCAAGATTGATTATGAAAAGAAGTGAAGTTACTTGTTTTATATTCTATTGTTGCATCCACTTCCATACAGTCTTGTTCCAAAACAATGAATTTTTTTTTCTGACTTGCATTGCTATTGGGAATATAACATTATTTAAGCATGTGCCAAATTTTACTCTGCAATTTCTTCTTTCTAATTAACATGTTTTAAGTCTGTCTTGATGTCCTCTCCCCACTGGATGAGGTCACCTATTGATCTCTTTTCTTTTTTTTTTCTTCCTTCACCTATTAGAATAATCCATTTGATTGTTAATTTTAAATATTGACTGTGTAAACAAAACTTCTTATTTTTCCTACTAAAGAATTTTATTGAAATGTTTTGACAACTATTTCCTATTGTCATTTAAAATAGCATTACTACAAAAAAAATGAACCTAATGTTTGTTTGTAGAGTTACAATTACTTTTCTCAATCTATTGAGATAATACATTTTATTCTTGAATTGAAGGTTAGTTGAATATAAACATTGAAAAATCATTGTTCCAGAAATTGTTAATTGTTTCACTTGCAAAAGAAAATTATTACAATCCAAAAAATAGTTCAGATTTAAATAAGTCACAAAGCCTTAAAAAATCAATCAATTCTTATATTGAAAGTCTTCTTAAAAATTTGGCCTAAATGGAGTCTGAAGTAATTCTTTTTAAATTTAATACTTTCTTGGTTCTATCATAAAGATTTGATATTATGAAATTAAAACCCTAAAACACTCTATCATAAAAATGTTTACACTACATGCAAGTTCTATTAATAGTCCATAATTGTAGAAGTTTTAACATATAAATAGGGGTTTTACAATAATGACTATCAAGACTAACCAGTTTGAGTTTGGTTTGATAGGTTTCTCTTCCAAGATAAATTATTGATAGGTCTCAAAAATCCTATACCTGCTCAACACCTATATGATGTGAGGCTCATTAATATTTAGCCTGGCTTTATAATTTGAGTTCTTGTTTGTCCAACCTTTTCTCTTATAGTATCTAAAGCAAAACTGAAATAATGTCAGTATTTAATTTGACTTGTAGATGTAATGGTCTTTAACATCCTTTTAATTTTATAGTGTCAGAACAAGTCTTTGTTGAATTTAGTCTACAAGATTCATGTGTACAATTTTCTTGTTTTCAGTGTGTCACATAATCAAACAAGGTCGTTGTACATTAGTGACCACCCTACAGATGTTCAAGATCCTTGCACTCAATGCCCTCATCCTTGCCTACAGCCAGAGTGTTCTCTATTTAGATGGAGTGAAATTTAGTGACAGTCAACAAACTATACAAGGCTTACTCTTAGCTGGTTGTTTTCTATTTAACTCTAAATCAAAGGTAAGATCTAGTTTACCACCAAGAAAAATTGTTTGCACTCAAGCTTTTAATTTTAATTTGGTAAATGTGAGGTTTTTCTACCTCACATAATCATGTCAATAAAATTTTTAAAAATCATTCATATTCAAACAGCTACTTAAAAAAAAAAAAATAAAAAATGTGTATATTAAATTTTAAATTCTAACAGATCTATGCGTTTTAACTATAATTCTAATACAAAAAAAGTTTCAAAACACATACAATCCTAAAAAATTTAACTCTTGCAATGGATGTAACGAGAAATACATGCCATTTTCAAATTAGTTTGATGTTCCAAAATAGAACAAGAAAACTGGAAGTAATTGATCAGAAACAACATGGATGAAATTAATCTGAATGATTAACTGATATAGAAAGTAAATTTGATATACAAGGTGTATCAGAAAAGAAACAGGACTAAAGTCACAAAAATTTTTTTCCTTCCAAAATTATCCCAGCATGTGCTTCCCTTTTTGGTCATCATTCAGCACCATATTCTGCATTCCCAATGTCTTTGGTGATAATCTTTTAGACACTGCATCACACGCTCACAGTTGGCCTCAGTCCTGCTCGTTGAAGGTCTTCTGCACCTGGAGTTGTTTTTCACATCCTTGCATCTCTCTCTTTGAATCTCTTGTGCCACTCAAAGACCCAAGAGCACAACATCATCTCATCTCTGTACACTTTGCTATAGCAGAATGCTTCACATGGTGTTTTTTTTTTCCTAGCCAGACAAGCAACATCAAGTTGGTTCATTGCTCTCTGCCCATTGCTTAACAGCCTAAAATTGAGGCGCTTTTAATAAAAGCATGTGAAAAAAACATACAATGGTTGCAGAGAGCTAAAACCACTGTTATATTCTTCCTGGATATTATATCATACAGAGATGCAGCATGCTAATCCCTACCCCATTCATGGTTCACACGGTACACTAAGTCCTGTTACTTTTTCGACACTTACTAATTTGAATATTTGTTCTCATGTTTTGGGGGCTTTTTTTCTAACAGTTAACTCATGTTGGCTTATGGCTTTTAGTATTTAGAATGAAATATTGAGTTTCAACTAAAACATTAATAAAAGAAAATGCGTTAGTTTTTACCTCAAAAATTACTTTTTTAAATTCTCATAGAAATATTGAAAAAAAAAAAAAAAAAATTGTATATTCATTAGTGTTTTGTTTTCTTTACACCTCTTTGAAAAATAAAATTTAAAGTTGTGACTAAAAACAGAACGAATATGAAACTGGGAAATAGCTTCACTTAAAACAGCATAAAATTATTTCCTGCACCATCTCATTGTAAGATTTGAAATGTAAATAAACTGGCAATTTGGCAAAAACTTATGTAAACTCATGGTAAAAGACTAAAACTATAAACAAGGTGGAACTAATGAATGTATTTTTTTTTTTTATCTTTCCACAAAGCTTTTCTTGTTTTCTATTCATTGTCATGAAGGTTTCCACTGGAATTCTTGTCTTTAACTTTTCTTCCATGTTTAACCTTAATTTTGAAAGACTACAAATATAAAGAGGCGCCAATAAAAATGAATTTTTATTTTATTTTTCCAGCCACTACGAACGCTATCAAAGGAAAGACCTCTGCCAAATATATTTAACATCTATACCATCCTCACTGTGATGGGACAATTTGCTGTTCATTTCTCTAGTTTGGTATATCTGGTCAGAGATGCTAGATTTCGCTCTGGCTATGAGTAAGTAAAATTAACTAAGCATTTGTACCAATATTTAAATATAACTCTGTTCCTAATTTCCTTAATTTTGACAGATGCAAATATTGGAACCAAAAAAAAAAAATTTTGTTATCCAATAAATTTTCTTTTTCTTTTAGTGAATACAGGAAAGTTGATCTGGAAGCAAAATTTGAGCCAACACTACTAAACTCCACCGTTTATATTATTTCCATGACTCTTCAGGTATCAACATTTTTTGTCAACTATACAGTAAGTAGATACTATTTCTAAACATTTTTTCTTGTACATAACAGAACAAACAAACATGGATCTTTTTATCTTTACAGAAAAGAAGCAATGTTTGTGGATGTTATCATTTTAAAACCGTATGTTGTGTAACTTACCATTGGCAAATAATATATAGGGTACAATGCATAAATTGTCATCTAAATTATGCAAAAATTAAAATAACACTGACATCTCATTTTAACAGACATATTTACCAAAATTACACAAAAATATCTTAAAATACTAATGGGTAAACTTATTCAATAAAATTGCCATTGGCTTCATCCATGACCTCCAGACGACTTCCTGCAATTCCTCTGGACAGTCTCCTTGTTTAAGTTGGTGAATGCTGTCATAATGCTTGCCTTCAGTTCATCTTTGGTGTTACAAGTAGTTTTATTTGTCTCTTGCTCAACTGTGCCCAATACAGTAATAAAGGGGGTTGCAGTCTGGGGAGTTAAATGTAAGGAGTGGTGTGGTCTCAGAAATTCTGACAGCCATGACTGAGTTCTCCTGCTTGTGTGGCATGATGCAGAGTCCTGTTGCCAGACATAAGGTCTTCCAGCAGCCACCCTCTTGGCCCAGGTCAGCACTGCCTCTTCAAGGCACTTCATGTAGGCCTCCATGTCAAGTCTGAGGTCCTCACCAACAAATTTGGGAGTTCTTATCAGAACCATCAGAGTGAATTTTCTGAACTACTGTATCTTCGTAATCACCATTAGATTCATCCAACTCTTTCCTGACCCTACTATACTGAAGTCATCAAAAACAAACAATACATGTGTGAAATTAAAAATATAAAATGGCAATTTACCCATCGCACCCTGTACATGTGCTTATTTATTGAGATGTTATGTTATTCAGTAAATTAAACAAACTAGCATTCTTGCCTTCCCCAGGTGTATTACTTATGGTAATTACCAGGTTAGGATTTTCTTAATAAGGATTTTGCTGGCTGATACTTTTTCATATTTGAAATCTGATCAACAAAAATTAATAAGTTTTAACACTTTATTGGTTAATGATATCAGTTGAAATTGGATCACAGTAGATCAGAAAATATTGAAGTGAAGTTTTTTATGAATAAATGATTAAATGGTTGTAGCCATGGTTCATTTTAGCCAAGCACTATACCCCCCCACCACCACTTCCCATGTAATATCAACTTCACTGATTACTCAACAGCTGTTTTAAATGTTTTATCAGAAAACATGTATGCTCTGTTGGATTTTTCATAATGATTGTTTCCCCTTATTCTTTGTATTTAATTGATGCATACAATTTTGGTCTGTCATTTCAGGGTGAACCATTTATGGAAGGTTTGAAGGACAATAAACCTTTGTTATATAGTTTGTTAGTGTCTGGCAGCACTGTGCTCCTGTTGGCTTCTGGAGTCTTTCCACAAATGCTGGAAATGTTTCAGCTTGTAGAACTTCCGTCTGATGTGAGCATTTAGTTTTGTCTTTTTTTGTTACATCCACACAAATGTTCCTTTATTTTTTTATTTTTAGAATGGACAAAATTGGCAAATTTTTTTTTTTTTTTTTTGTATGTATGTGGTAATTAATTTCTAAAACTGAATAAGTCACATATAATAAAAAAAAAAATTTTCATTTTATTTCAACATTGAAGATGTACTGGATTTGGCATCTTCACTAAAACTAAACAGCTTTTAAATGTTTTCGAGTTGGTAGGTGCCTTTTTCTTTTTTCTGAAAAATAAAATAATAAAGAGTTTGTATCTTAAAAGTAAGAAATAATTGCCAAGTGTTGGTTGAGTGTAATTAATTAACCAATGATGACTAGTTCAGACTCTGGGTTAGACAGTGAACAAGTTTCCACTTGCTCAGAGGAAAAAGCAAGAGGATGAATTATACATGAGATTCCCTAGCATGGTCAGTGAAATGAAAACAATCTTTGTGGATTGAATTCATTTACCAGGCAAGTAAATGTTAAAGACCTTTGAGGGTTGAAGCATGACTATAACAACCAAGTTATCAGTATATATAATTCCATATCAGAAATTTGCACATCAAGATACTTTTGATACTTGCAAGCACAATTTTCTTTTTCTACTGACCAAAGATTGCGATTGATTCTCTCCATTTCCTCAGCCATTGGCGTCAAATGCAAGTTACATGAACACTCTTAATAAAATAAAACTTATTAGTTTGTTTACATTGGATTATTGAATTTTAGTTTTTATTCAATATCTTTAATATTTATCACTAATTAAGTAGAAAAATATTTCACATTTACAACTTTTATCAGAAATGAGATTATCTTCTGTATATTTGATTGTCAATGTTTCTGTCAATTTTATCACATTATTCTCTTTACAGTGTAACATTTGTAAATTGTATTTCATTCATACTTTGCTGTTCTGTGCAAACTATAGATTTTTTCCCATGAAGATGGAATTGTAAAAACTGAAAAAAACAAAAAAACATCCAGGTTGCTTTTTCTTGAGATTGTGGTTTAAGATCTTGCTTTATAGATATTTACTTAATTTTGGATTTTTTTTTTTTTTTTAAACCTGACATGTAACTATCTCTGCCCCCCAAAATATTTAGTTTTACTCTGAAAACTATCTACAAAATCTTAATATTTTTTTTCTTTTCAGTTTTGTCACACTCTGGTTGTTGTCATCCTGATTGATATCATAGGATCATGGCTGGTTGACAAAGTGTGCCATTACTTCTTTGGCAAAGGCAAAGTACGAAAGGTGTAAGGTGGTTGTTGCTATGGTTACCCACTGTCTTAAATCCTCACCCATACTGCATAAACCACACATTGTTGAGCAGGAAGATTTATCAGTGTTCAGCCTCGGCTTGGGCTAATTACAAGTTACAATTTCCAGTTTGATCTTTGGCTGGAATATATTTTTTCATTTGTGATCTCCATGACCATTCAGCCATTTTGTCTCCATGTGCCATGAACTGTAACTGTCATACCTCTTAAAAATACAAAAAAAAAAAAAAAAAAAATTGAGGATCTGTCCCACACAAGCAGACAGTTACATATTACAGATATAAACATTGTTGCATTTGTCTTAAATTTCTATATGATCAAATAATGACATTATTAAAATTTGAAAATTTTTCTTGGTATTTTGTGTTCAGCCTTTTTTTCACCTCATTCACTCCCTTCTTATCAGCTTTCTCTTCATCTATTACAAATCAAGGGTGCTCTTGTAGAATAACTAAAAAATCTGGAGCACACTTTAAGGAAAAATTAGTCATTAAATTTAAAGTATTTACTTAAGAGACGTGTTGTATATTTAAACAGTAAAGTTTTCATTTAAAGAGATTCATTTTTTTTTTTTTTTTGAGGCTGATAATGAGATTTAAATCCAAAGAAAGGGAAAGGATTATCTACTCTTAGGGAATTTAACATCCAATTTAAAATATCAAATAAAGACTTGATCATGTGCTGGTGGCTCTGGCTTTTTAAATAATTCAGAAATTACTAACTTTGGGCACAGCTGGCTACCTTCCAGGGAGAGAAATTACTGCTCTAAGCCAGACAGGACTACCAATTTATCCATAAATCACTTGGAATAAGTTTTATACAGCCTCAAAAGTGACTGCATACCCAGATCATTTCATATTCATGTTAACGTTGGTATTGAGAGGCCACTGGCTATTAGTTCCCCCTCTTGCCTGGGGCTTTAAACTAGGAAACCATGTTAGTGACATAATCCGGGGTCCCATGAGCTGCTGAAACCTACTCGCACCCCCACAATGTACACTATTATTAAAAAGGGGAAGTAGGAGGTATGCATTGTTCATAACTTCCCAGGGGGCTATTACAATGAGGAGGATGGTATACAGCTATGTTTTTCTTAAAAAAAAAAAAAAAATTTATATACGCGACTTTGTTAATGGGGGTGTTTTATAGGTCCCCGTCTATGTAGTATTAGGGTGGGTGGAAAATTGAATGATGACTGACTTTTTATGGTGGATGTGTAAATTGTAACGAATGAATGGGTCGCGAATCGGCTTAGCTAGTGACGACCAGCCTCAACCCATTCCCCTTGTGCCACAATTGCTGTATTTTCGAGCAATATAGTTACGTTTTCATTTCTTTGTCAAAATTTGGCGCGTACACATACCTATCTAAAGTGTTCTCGATTAACTGTCTGTAATATTGCTAACATTGCCATACCTATAAAGTTTAGGGTTTAGCATTTCTCCATGTTACAGGAATTTGAGATGCAATAAATTACCTACAGGAAAAAGGTTTTCGGTAAAAATGTAAAAGAATAACGCTCCACTCCTGCGCGCATAGATCGAAATTAGTTTTTGCCAAGCTTGAGGAATTCAAATAAATCTAGTCTGTCTATGGCGTTTTGTCAGTGGGAGATATATATTTCATTCACATTATAAAGAAAATTGTTGATTCATCTGAAAGGGTTTTGTATTATTCAGAAAAATAAATTGTACCAGTTTTATTTTTGGTAGGCACGTGTAGGGTTGGTGCTGTTGTGGTCGTTAAATGTATATAAAAAAAAAAAAAAGTCTGGATCGTAATTGTATTGTCTTTGCGTAAGATAATTTAAGGTGTAAAAAAAAATTTAATAATTTACATTAAATTCACGTTGTTGAAAGTGACAATGGCGACGGTTACTAGAAGTTGGTGGGGGGTACATATCCAGCCCATCCGCACTAAAGGAAGTTAGTGGTTTTTATTTTTATAAAAATATTATAACTAGCAACATCCCTTTCACAATAACCTGGGATTAAAAATATCCAGTCACCATACAGGTTTTGGGAGGAAAAAGAAGCTTAAAAACACTTTAAAAAAAAAAAAAGTTATTTTAAAAACTACATTCGTTAAAAAAAAAAAATCCTCTTAATGCGCTTACTTAATATAGATATGTAGCGGCTTAGAAGGCATAAATGCGAGAAGCAACGAAGTATATGGAAAGGAAGGGAAAGAAGGCTTAGTAACGAGAAAAGTTTGTGTTAGCTAAATAAAGAGCCAGAAAAAGTTGGCAAGCATCTGCATTTAAAACTAGATAACCAGAGAAACTCTCCTAATCTTAAAATAGAAAGCTTTGAGAAAGATCTGCTAAAAAAATTAAAAAGTTGGAAAAGTAATGTAATTAAAACTATTGAGGCCAATGCAAAGTCACGATTCATATCCCTATGTAAAAAGTATTTCGGTGAAACGTTAAAAGCGCGCGAAAGCAAAATTCATAAAAAAATTTTTAAATCGAAAAAAAAAAAAAAAAAAAGTACTGTAGTCAACATGTGGGGTGGGGAGAGACAAGAGGTTAAAAAGAAGAGAAAAAAAAATAGCAAAATCTTGTAGTTGACTACGGAGAAATTCGACATGGTTTTATGGCCCTGAAAAGGGCCGTTTGATGATGTTTGCTGAACAAGTAAAACGAAGTTTACTTTTTGGCGGCCTTCTTAGCGGCTTTCTTAACTTTCGGTTTATTGGTTTTCTTGACCGCTGGTTTCTTAGCTGCTGGCTTCTTTTTAGCTGCTGGTTTCTTGGCCGCAGGTTTCTTTGTTTTGGGAGATTTCTTCTGGGCTGGCTTTTTAGCTGCCTTCTTCGCGCCAGCCTTTTTAGCTACCTTGGGCTTGACCACTTTCTTGGCGGCCTTCTTGGGGACCTTCTTCTTGGGCTTAGGTGCAGACTTAGCAACTTTAAATGATCCAGCGGCACCAGTGCCTGTCACTTGGGTCAATGTACCGTCACTTACTCCCTTCTTCAGAGATAATTTCAGTTGATGATTCACGGTACTTTGTTTATCGCTGACGTTGTATTCACTGGAGATAAATTTCAGGATAGCCGTCCGAGAAGAACCTTTTCTTTCTTTCAGGTTAGTGATGGCGTTGATAATCATTTCATTGTATGTTGGGTGAGTTGCCTTTTTGGCAGCCTTCTTCTTAGGGGTTGTCTTTGCATCAGCCATGACGTAGTTAGTGTAAAAAAAGTTGAACGATGTGAACTAGTGAGTGTTGCTGCGAACTATGAATTGGACGTCGATGTAGCACCGGTTTTATAATGAATGCGCGGACGTAGTAGTAAGCAGAGTGACACCTTGGTGAACAGCTATGCGTCGAGTAAATCGTTTTATCTCGATTGTGTTAGTCACCTGAAAAGAATCATTAAATTGTGAATTATTTCAAATTGATACATATAGTTTTCTTTACATAAATTCAAAGAAGACATATCAATCTACCATGTCATCGATATGTTTAACTTTTTAGGTTGACTAAGCTATTGAAAAATCAAACAGTTTTTTAATGTTTTAGTTGATAATCACTGTGTTTCCAAACAAAGAAGTGATTAAACTATTCCATGTAATGAAATTTAATTATTTATTTTTTTTTATGTTAAAATTTGAATATTCAACTCTGTCCTTGTAAAATTCCTAAAAAATTCGTGCGAAATTTGTATCCGAAAAAGTGATTTATAATTGCTGTCCCTAACACATCGCAGATTTCAGAGGCGCGACTAAAATAACACCTCTTTCGCAGCTTCCGTATTATTTGGAATTTTGAGTTTATTTTATTTAACTTACTGAAGTGTTTTAATTAAGAATATTAATTTCATTTTCTTTATTATAATTTCTATAGTGTGTATATAAATGATTTAATCTCGTTTTTTTTTTTTATCCATTTACAATTCATTTGTTAGTTGTTTGTAACAAATAATTCAACTTGTAAACATTGCAATAAAAAAAAGCCTTTCAAACAAAGTTTACAACACGAGATGTTGGAAAATAATAAAAATATACAAATTATTTTTGCAAAGGTTATTTAAAAATAAAACTTATACTTTGTTCCCAAAATAATAATAAAAAAAACTACTTCATTTTAATTTTGAAACTTATGTTTAAAATTTAAAGACAAAAGGAAATTATTTTTTTTTAATTTGATTATTTTTCGAGAGACAACAAATATTTTTTCATTTCAATAAAAAATCATTAAATATTAATTGACTTAAAAAATCACTTGTAATCATGTTTTTGCACTGATGGAAACGGTTTTAAAACAAACATAACCTCCGCATATAACTTATGAAGAGGGAAAGACTTTTAATTTTCTTCATTATCTGAATTAATAGCAAAAATTAACTTTTTCCGTAAAGAAAACTCCAAAATCTAACACAACAGATTCTTTAAATTTTTTAATGTTTCTTTTTCCGTATTTATCATTGGTTTTTAAAGTTGATTTACACACAGAAATATGCTCATATTTTTATTTAAATTAAGTCTAAGTAACTGTAAATAAAACATCATCATAAGATCATAATCATTAGTTTTGGAGGTGTTTTTTTGTTTTGTTTTTGTTTTTTTTTACAGTAAATTCTTAAAATAACCGTGAATTTATTATTTTCTATTAAATATCTGTCCGCTTTTTTTTAACAAATTCGTCAATATACTGAAAAAATTTTAAAAATATATTCTTCGTTACTATTTGATGATTTAATTTTACACTCAATTTATTTTTACGTCCATTCTCTGCAAATAAATTTGAGAAGTAATAAAATATTTTATAAATATTTTAAGTAAAATACAGTTCGCATCACAAGATAATGTTTTGTTTTATTTTTATATTTAATTTTGAATAAAAATTTATTTAATGAATGTCAGAGGAAAACAGTTACAATGTAACGAACCGTAGTGTAAAAAAATTTCTTTTCATTCGTGTGGGGTTTCAAGAGAACTGTATGACATTTTAATTTAAAGCACTTCTTGACATTATTTAGTTACGTGATCATTTATCGTAATCCGCACAGTGGATAAGTACAAAAACACAAATTAATTATGCAAACGATTCATGTGGTGTTACCATTCTTTTCTCATTATGAATCGGAATGTGAAAAATATGAAAAAAAAAAAGCATTATGAGCGAATTTAAAAATGATTTGTGACTACAAAAACGACATGAAAATTTATAACTTTATATCTAACTTTTTTATGTTTGATAATCAAACATAAAAAAGTAGATAAATATAGGCTTTGTTTATAAAATCTGTTGAAGAAGATTAACAAAAACATTAATTATCTCTGTTAGTGTTACATATTAACTAAAAAAAGAGAATGAATAGAATTTGGCTATCTAGACAAATTTTTAACAGAAAAATAAGTCTTCCTTCAGTAATTAATAGTTATTTAATAAATATTTACAAAAGACAGGAAAAAATGATTCCAACATTTTATTTTTTTACACGAAAAAGTTTTTACATTAGAAGAGTGCTTCAAAGTTCAAAAGACATTTTTTTCTTTGCCATAATATTATGGTAAAGAAAAAAATGTCTTTTTTTATGCATTATTTGGATTGATGAATATTATAATATTCATCAATCCAAATAATGCATATTGGTTTTCAAGGCTAACACCGGGATTATTTAAATAAATTATGTTTAAATGAATAACAAGACCCTACAATGTAAAATATCGACATCATTTTTCTCTTCAAACTAAATGGGAAATGTTTTATTAGGTGCTAGGTTCAAATTTCTGCACGTATTTTAAAAATAAGAATTAATAAATAATAGCGATATTTAAAAAATGTGTTTTAAAACTCTGCTATTTAAGACGTGAAAACAAAACACAAAAAAAAAGCCTTTTTAGTTTTTTAACTTTACAAAAATATTCAAGTGATTTTTCAAACACCAAAGAAAGAATAAAAAAGCTATTATTGATTGATCCTAAGGAAGAAAAATGTTGGGTCGCCGCTTTATTTAATTTTCTTTAGTATCATTTAGTTAAAAAAAAAGTAAAAATATTTGCTCGGACATGTTTTTTACAGTTCCTTTCTTTTTTTCATTGCCATATTTTGTTTAGTGCACTTCGTCACCAACATGGCCTTTCCACGCGGAATAATATTGATGAAGCGAAGCTGCTTTTCTTTTTCTTTAGACTGGAAATATGTGAATTTCTTTCACACTCATCGAAAATAATTAATGCCCGTTCAATGTCCACATATCGTGATTATTTTTTTTATGCTCGTTTAAAAATGAGATAAAAATGTTTGTGATTTTTGTACCATTTGTTCGTATTATTCAATTGTAATTATTGTGTAACCTAAAAAAATTATAATCAACTGTTTTTGAAATGACATTGTGTCAGCTCAGCACTAAATAACTTTTTTGTGAAACTCAACAGAAAGCTAGTTTTAGGTCAGATGTTAAGTTTTAGAAAAAATATTAAATAAGTGATATAAATTTTACACCTACACTTAAAATTCATGTCTCATTATTATTTAGTATTATTCTGGTTCAGGGTGTGAAAATTGACAAAATTTCTTTCTTTCATGCTGACGGTGACCCCTACGGATTTGAGATTTTTTTCTACTGAGTGAATAATTTTCACGAGGAGAAAGGTGATGTTAAAAAAAGTAAAATTTAGTTATGTTCCTGATAAAATTATAATAAACACAAGTTTCTACATTTCTTATGGAAAATTTACGTTAAGAAACTAAACTTCATGATTGATTTATTTCAAAATGGAAAATATAAAAATAAAATAGTGACGCATAAAATATTTTACAAAAAAATATTTATTTTTCAGTTCGATCGAAAAATGATTCTATAAATATGTTAAGTCCAATCTACAATGAAAAATATTAATAAAAATGCATTTGAATTAGAAGTGAAACCGTTGAAGACAAATTAATTTGTTTTGTGTTTTTTTTTTTAATTAAAGATTTACATTCAACTGTTGACTAGCGATTTCGGTTGCTGGATTGAAGGAAGCGAGATTAAATTTGGCGCCAAATAGATTTGAAATATGCAAAATCTATGGGAGGTAACTCTGGGTGAACATTTTTGCTTCATGGTTCCAGCTACGATTTGGCAGCCACGAGATTTAGTTATAACTTATATATGCGAAAAAAAAAAAATCATAATTGACCTCATTACAACGCCGAGAAATAATAATCTTGACTTGAAAATAGACTTCTTTGTCATATGTTATGCAGGTATCGATTTTTTTTTTAAATAAGAAAAAAAGTTTAATCAAAATTCGTTGAAAATTTAGCACGCTTGCCGAAAGTAGAATAATGCATGTAAATACTTATTGCGCAAACGGTTGAAAACATCTATCTTATCACCACAAATCCTAAAGCTTATGAGAATAAGTCAATTTAAAATGAATTCTAAAATGTGAATTAATGATTATTATTAATTAGTAATGACTGAAATTGTCTCTTAACTACTTTTTTCTATTTCTTCGATTCAAATTTCATTATTAATTCTCTACATTGAAAATTGAAAAAAACTCGGCAAAATAATTAAAAGTTTATTGTATCGGAGTTGTGCTTTCGAATAATGTACTAAAAACTGTCTAGGAAATAAACATTTCAGTTTTCCTAAAAACTATAATAAGCGCTCTTCCATCTAGGCTCCTTATACCTAGAGAAATTGGAACAGATAGCGAAATTTGAATCCCTGAATATAAACGTGACTGAGTTTTAAAATTTTACTTAATTGCCGTTTTTGTTTTTTGTTTTTTAACATCAGCATTTGCAAAAACTAAATTTTATCTTTGATCCGTTTTGTTTCGTTTAAAAACTTTCGCTTCGAAAGCAACAAGGCCGTTAACAAACAGATTTGGTGATCTAAAAATAGCTGCAATAAATGCTGAAAAAGTAAGAATCTTTTAAAATGCAAGAAAAATACTAGTAAAAACATTTAACACTCACTGCTTCATACACAATTTAGGATAATATTGTTATATAGTTTTAGTAGTTATTTACTGTAAGTTGATATGTTTCTTAACCACCACCCTTTATAAAAATTGTCATTCGTTTTTTAATGCTAAACTTGTGACTAAAAAAAATTCTTCAAATAAAAACTTGAAAAACTTTAGAGACGGCTGACAAATATTTTCAAAATAATATAAAATTTATATTAAATATTTTATCTTTTTCATTTGTTCCTGGTTGTAACTTTTTAATTTTT